ATATATATATATATATATATATATTAATGTATATAATATAATATAAATTAATATGAGTTATAAAAATATTACTTAATGTTAGAAAAATTATAAAAAAACGTGTTAGAAACTTTGTGTTCTCCTTTCCCCTTTCAATATCGTTGTTTACTAGTTTTATCTTCTCTTGATTTGCTTTGATTCGCTGAGACTTTGCTTCTGAAATTTCGAGGCCTCTTCTACTGATTAAAATCAGGCATTTGTGCTCATCAATTTCCTGAAATCAGCTGTTATTCCATTTGGGTATTTGATAAAATGGGCGATATGAAAGATAAAATGAAAGGGTTCATGAAAAAATTCAACAATTCGTTATCGTCGTCTTCGTCTTCGTCTTCAGGTAAATTCAAAGGGCAAGGTAGGGTTTTGGGTTCATCGTCTTCTTCAATTTCTTCAGCTCCGGTAAATTCAAGCTCCAATCGCCCTACAACCCAGGTTCAGGACCCGAAACCCGTTCCTTCCCCTCGACCCTCTTCATCAACTTCCGTTGTTTTGCCCAAAAAGCCTATTTCTCCTGATCAGCCTACAAAGTCGACAGAAGGGTTTGATCCGTTTGATTCGTTGATCACAACTGGTAAGAGAAACAAAAACGGGTATGATTTGAGAGTGTTCGAGTGTCCAATTTGTAGCCGTCCATTCGGATCGGAGGAAGAGGTTTCTGATCATGTTGAGACTTGCTTATCTAACAATGAATCAGAATCAAAAACTGATAATAGCCACGGAAAAGAGGAGACGCGACGCGAATTGGAAACTTGTATTGGTACATATGTTTCTGGGAAACCATCAGATGGGTCAGTTGAGATTGTCCTTAAGCTGTTGAAGAACATAGCTAAAGAGCCTGATAATGTTAAGTTTCGAAAAATTCGACTTGGGAATCCAAAGATTAAAGAGGCCATTGCTGATGTTGCTGGAGGTTTGGACTTGCTGGAATGTGTAGGGTTTGAGCTGAAGGAGGACGAAGGGGAGATGTGGGCAGTAATGGAAGCTGCAAGTAGTGAGAAAATTAAGCTGATCAACCAAGCAGTTTGCTTGTTGGAACCACCAAAGACTGAAATTCCGGCATCTAAAACAGTACCGGCTAAGGTGGTGGAGCCAGAAGAGGTGAAGAAAGTCGAGAGACAGGTATATTTCATCGAACTCTTTAACGGTTTTGTTGGTATCCTATTCATATGTTATGAATGCTTGTGTTGGATTGCTTGACCTCTTTGAATTTGGAGGCTAATTATGCTGGTCAGACAGGTTCTGATGAAAACAAAATTGAACTTGGGAGTGATGTGTTTAACTGGTTTTGTCATTCTTTCTCGAGAAGTTCTGTTGTCAATCCAGGGTATATTGGTTTTCATGTTTTTTGAGTCAAATGGCAGCTTTTCAAGAAAATGAAGTTATCACAATTGAAAACCGAAAAGAATGGCAAGTGATTGTGGATGGTGGATAATTAGATATCAAAATTTTGATGTCTTGCTAAATAGTGAAAGGATTCAGATAACTAGATATGCGGGGTTGAGAGTATTTAGTTTTTGTTACTACCACTTCCATGTTTAGAGTTTAGGGTTTATATCGTTTATCATTTTGTGGTTTTATTTTGTGGGTCCTATGGTATGAGATGTTTTTTACTTGATATCAAGGATCATAGATGGGACCATAAAATGAAGAACATACTGAAAATGGTATATACCAAATATAACCTTATTATAATGTCTTATGGAGGACTTTCCGAGCACTGTTTTACTGTAATGGCTAATACAACAACAAACTCTTTCTTGGTTCTTAGTATTGCGGCATATGTTAGTTTTGTCATAAACTATGGCATGCTATTATGGAAAACATAAGTTGGTTTGAGGATTGATATGCTATATTTGACATCATGTTAATGTTACTTTGTACCTTAAAGATGCTACCTTGTGGTCAAATGCTGTTTTTCTCCATTGAATGCATCATGATATGTTTCTGCACGTGACGAATGCTACTATGGGCGTAATTAAATGATAACCTCTAAGGTTGAGAACCATGAGATCCGGCAAATCATGTGTTGTTTCACATTGTGAAACAAAAAATGCACAAAAAATTTCACTTTGTGAAACAATACCTTAACTACTACCGATAGATGAAGAGAATCATGTGAAACAGTACATTGACATTGGTTTTCACGGGTTTGTAACTTTTTTCTAGTTCTCACAAGATTAACCCCCAATGCTACCATACCTGAGATGGTATTGCCTTCCGATTTTATACACATCAAGCTCGAGAATGGAATATTAAATCATGAACGAAACACTTCAATCCTTGCTTAAGAGTCTTACGGTTATGTTAGCTGGCTAATATCTAGTTGGTGATTGAAGTTTATTGCAACAAACACTAGATTCTTCCCTTATCAAGAAACCTAAACAAGGTTAGTTTTATCCTTTAGCTTTCTCAAATACATGATTACTCTTCGGATGTGTATGCTTGCTACATCGATATCCACTGTAAGTGATCTTTTTTTATAATAGAGGATAAAAGTGGAAAGCTTATAGAAAAAAAAACAAAGCTTTACGAAAGCACTTGTAGATGCCATGACGTCCACCCAAAAGTCAACAGATTACAATTGCAACTAGCTATGTTTGTTAATTAAACTTAATCATATCAAGCAACCTGTATTAGTTTATTCTTTCTTTCTTTTTATTATCGTTTGATTGAAATATCATCCGATTTCTTTTGGCTAGGAGGTTGGTGTGTGGAACCTCATTGACAGCATTTTGCACCCAAAGATCTAAACTTGGGAGCGGGGTTATGGTTGACCTTTGATGGATAACTAATTTCAGGGAATATTAGAAGTAAGCAATAATACAGAACAACTTGTTTTTAAGAAGTCAAAATTCTTTTGTAAAAATCTATAAATATATCATACATGACAGAACGATCCAAGGTCGGTAGGTCTGCAAATCACAGCCTAGCAGCTAAAGCCTAATTGATGATGCAAAAATACATTAAAGGGAACGAGTGAAGACAAAGATGTGATTGTAAACCTTATTGTTGTTGATTCGAATGCCTCATTTAGTTTATCCTTCGATTTTCACTGGTTGTCTACTTGGGTTCCTCAACAATAGTATGTTCGCTTGTAAAACTAACATTCTCAAGGGAGAGTAACGCTGCTCAAACAATCTTTAGAAGGATCTTTTTGTCTTTTTCAGTAGTAAAGATTGTAGTCAAGTTGGTATAAAAGAATAATAACATAGCAAAAAAATCTTTGAAACTAACCAAATTTAGTATTGATCGTCACAAAAGCATGAAATTGCTTGATGGTTCTTGGTTTACGAGAATTTATTGTCAAATAGAGTGTAGAATCCTTCTTCCGCTCTAGTGGCGGGTTTCTCTTGCCCGGTTGGGGGCTTTAACCATTCAGCCATGGATGCAAAGAGACTCAGCGAGTGAACTAGGTTAGCCCCTTCTATCTTATTAGTAAAGCGCTAACGAGCGCCCTGCAATCAAACTCAAGTTTCAGAGCTTTTTGTCTCCTTGATAGCTGGAAGTTCTCCAAAAGTATGAAAAGCTGGAGGACTTTGTACCATCCATTCCGGTGTGGTTGGATTCTGTTCAACATCCCAACGACTTGGAGCTCATCTTTTGTTGTTCCCACTGCTCCCGGACAAGGGGACAAGATCCACTGGCTTAGGGCCCCACATAAAGTTGCTACTTTCCCTCTTCACGTATAAGTAGATAAGGTCGTACTTTGCTTTGGCCAAACCGTTTTGACTTTAGTTAGCTAAATCTTGAGTAGTTTATGTGTATGGTCAAATTGTGATGTTCCTAGGCACGATTTTGAATCCCCCAATTCTTACCAATCTTTGTAATGATCAAAATGGTTGACTAGTAATTATGCCTAGAAAACTTTCTAAAAATGGTAATGTAACATTTTTCATGGGACATTCCAAAATGGAGCCTGTTGCAATTTCTATGGAACATATGTAGTTTTCTTTACCCGTCTGTTTGATTTCAACGGCGTGTATTTTTGTGTTCGGTTTGTTAACAATATGACTACGTTATTTATTGTTCTTATCCCTCAACGATTGTATTGGATACTAGACTAGGGTGTTCTTTTCTGTGCCGGAAAGTGTAGCTGCAAAGATAGAACTTCCAGATTCTTTCTATAGACTCTCCATTGATGAAGTGAAAAGAGAAGCTGAAATGAGGAGAAAGAAGCTTGCAGAATCTCAACTGTTAATACCCAAATCCTACAAAGAAAAACAAGCCAAAGCTGCAAGAAAAAGGCATGCAAAAACCGTAATCAGAATACAGTTTCCGGATGGCGTGGTTCTCCAAGCTTTTTTTAATCCCAGAGAGCCGACTACCGCTCTTTATGAGGTTCGTTTTCAAAATATCGCAACTTCATTTACCTTCGTACTCAATTCCAATGGAAAATGGCAAGAATTAAACCGACATTTTTCTGAGCTTGCATTTTTGTATATAATTTTGAATATAGTTTGTGAGCGCATCGTTGAAAGATCCCAGTTTGGAATTCGAGTTGCTGCACCCTATTGTGATCAAACGCCGTGTGATCCCAAACTTTGGAGAGCAGTCCACAACGCTTGAAGAGGAGGATTTGGTTCCATCAGCTCTAATCAAGTTTAGACCTAAAGAAACAGACTCAGTCGTGTTTACAGGTCTTTGTAACGAGCTGCTAGAAATCATTGAACCTCTGGTATCTGAATCAGCAGTTGCCTCACAATAACAGTTCGACCACCGAATCGGATTTATGGTGCAAATTTTCGTGTTGAACGATGAATTTCTTTGTTGAATTGAAATATACATACATATATATACTGTTTGTAGGTTGTGCTGGTTTATGGCATGATCTTTGCTTAGGATTTATAAGAGATCTTTTTGGAGTTGTTAATACATTCACTGGGAATTGGTTTTTATTTCCAAATAAATTGTTAAAGATTTGATATTTAAAAATGACATTCTCTGATTCCTTTTATTATGTGACCATTTTTAAAAATCAATTTTGGTATCTCAGACATTTTAGATATCTGTTTATGTAACGTATTTTATTTTGATTTGATTTCTATCTTAGGTAACATGTTTTGATTTAAATATTTAAGATATTACATTCGACCTTGCAAGGTACCAAAACACGCCACTTTTTTGATGCAATTTACCCCCTACGTAAAGCTATAGTGAGATTATGATATATTATTGGTCGAAGCATCGCTTGGAAGTCGTCAACAGCGAGTGTTGGTGGTTGAATTTGTTGGAGAACTCTCTATTGGGGGCGGAAGTTGTGTCGTTGCCCCGCCTTACTGTTCTATGTCGGTTGGAGATCAAATCCATGAGGTGTTGAAAATTTTATTTAAAAGGATCAGAAAACTAAAAATATTAAATCTTTATAAATAAATTTTAGAGCTCTATTGATGAGGTAGAAAACTTAAGATCGGAATCGAAACCAAACCGATATTCTTACACGGGTTTGAATCTTCCCTCGCGATAGACTCAATGGTAAAAAGGGGTAGAAGCAGAGTGTTCACTATGTGAACGAAAATTAAATACAATGCCGAAAAATAAATACCAACCTGATTTTCTTGAAGTACGTAAAGGTAGAGATCTGCACGGTATAAAATTTATTTTTAAAGGTTTTATATGACTATTCTTTTGACACAGTACATGTTTTCGTTTTTTCAACAGCGATGAAAACCGAAAATTAAAGCAAGATGGATGCAGAAATTCGGTAGAGAGAAAGAACGGATTTGAGAGAGGAAGCAATCATTTTCTTAAGTGATTCATAGGGGTGGCTTCTACCCAATATTTATACTGGGGAAAACCCTAAAATCCCCACGATCTCATCCCCAAAAAACGGAGGATCATGGTTAGTTGAAGGATTATCCTCCAACAATCTTGATCTCCAAGAAACTTGGTCAACTCGGTTTAAAAAATCCGATTTTTCGGGGAAAAAAAATGTTACCCATCTCTCCCAATGATATACCAAAAAGATACTCGGAGCTCAGGGCGAGGCTCCTTCTACTCCGAGAGCCACTTTTGCAAATCTCACACCCTCGGCCACAACCACGCATGGACGTGTACGTTGGGCCTTCCACTCAAGATCCCCACCATGAGTCTACCCACATGTTCAAAGTCCAATTATAGAGAAAGCCTCATAAGCTTCTCTAGAGTTTCTTTATCTACCAATGTAAGATGAAAGAAAACCTCCAACCTCATATATAATTTCCAGAGATCCGGTGACGAGTCGATGGTTAGACTCAATCGGGTTGTGATATGCTTGTCCGGTCTATGTTAACGATGATGTTAAGTTTGCTTTCTTGTAGTTTGAGACAAACAAATACTTCAAACTTATCGTTGGTATGTGATGCATTCAATTTGCAGTTGGGAAATCTCAACTTATCAGGAATAATTTATTTAAAAAGTAATGAAAACCAGATATATTTAACATCAGATATATTAATTGTTCAATGGTGTTGGCATACTAAGGAGGTTATAATGACCCCGATGATTAGACTTGGTAACCGTCATAAAAATATGTATGGCCTCTATTAATGTTATTAATTTGTTGATGATCCAAATCATTACTTATTTGAAAAGTTTAATTTTATGATCATCTCATTGTTGAATATTGCTAATGTGATCATGTCAGTAGGTGATTTGCTTTGCACAAAATCACGTGTTATATTAATATCGTCTTACACAACGAAGCTACACAGATTCTATTAGGTACTTTTTTGGTAATTAAAGATTACGTTCGACTTTGTAGTTGATCTCATATGTCTTTGTAAGTAAACACCGTGCTATATTGGTATTCTCAAATAGCAATATACACGTTCAAATCAGAGGTCCCATGGCATTAAATTTACGTATTATGTTTATCTTCCAATAGCAGAAATAACAATAAGTGTCGGTGAAATGTCATTTAAACATAAAGATTTATGTGTCAGGTATTTTAAAACTGATATTTCCTAAAGTTCTGATACCAATAAAGTTACATTTGACTTCACAATAATATCTTTTAACAAATAATTAAATAAAAGAAAATTCTCAAAATGTGTGGTTAACTTCACATTATAATTTGTTTAAATTTAAATTAATCTCCAAATAAAAAATTCAATTTATTTTAGGATGAAGAGGACCATTACAATTACCCCTTTATGTAATTAAATATAAACAAATAAAAAATAAAAAATTTATGGATGATATTTGCAAAGGTTGAAAGCAATGTGTAACATGGGTTGTTTAATTAAATGGACCACCTACATGCAGTTATCATAGTTAGATGATACATCCTGTGTTTCCAATTTGACCACTTCAATTTATTTCCAAAAGTTATTTTTTAATTAATATTTATTTAAAGAAAAACATTAATGCAAAAAAGAAATATTATCGTTATGGATATGTATTATCTGTATATGTACAGTAAATAGAACGACGTTTATTTAACAGGTTTCTAACGACTTAAAATTACGTCAAAAATGGTATGTGAAAGATTAGTGACCAAACATTCTTGACTAAAGGTGCTTGAATTAAAGGAGGCAATCTCCTTTGTTCCTTTTGCCTTGTGTATGCTTTTAAGGAAGATCTTCTTGAGCAAATTGGACCATTGAGTATAGGGGTGCTCAAAAATCTGATCAATTCGATTAACCCAACCTAACTTAACACGAAATAACTCAACCCGAAGCAACTTGATGTCTAATCGAGTTGTAAATTTGTCAAACCGTAAGTATTGGGTTGATATTTTTTGAACCCAACCCAACCCGATGAACCTGATGTCATTTTACTTTTTGGATCTAATATGATTGTTGAATTTATATTAATATATACATTAGACAATTACATCATCTTGTATGTTCTTCATATACACATATCTTCAATCTATTCACATCTTTATATAACTCATTCGTATATATGTTCAGTAACTATGAACATGTATATGTAAATTGAGAAAATTAACTAAATGTGATATAAGTAAGAAGTATGGATAAGTTGTATTAAATGGTTGATGATGAAAAGGAAATTATGAAAAGAGAATTAATATATTATAGGTTAGAAAAATATTTTAATGTATCAAAGTACCAATCCGTACAGGTTGAGTTGGGTTGGTTTAAAAATTTTCAAATCGCAAGCATTAGGTTGGGTTGTTCAAATGTCTTCAACTCAATCAACCCTACCCATGAGCACCCCTAATTGAGTATATACGGTGTTTTGCATTTGAATTAATTGTTATGATCTTAATGTATAAATATCAGTTAATTTTTAAAAAAAATCGAATCTAAAGGAGTTGGAATGTTATGAAATCTTTTTTGACTACCTTTTGATTAACATAAACTAAAATATAATGTATCAAAACAATTTAAGTATGTTTGTTTGTTTCGGAGGATATGATTTTGGATTGTAATGAAATACCCATTTAAATTTTCATGTTTTTTTTGCTTAAATCATGAATATTTATATATGATAGAATTAATTATTTTATTGGCGACGGCAAGGACCACGACAAGGGTGGCATTAGTGGTGGGTGGAATAATTTCGAATTCAACTTAAAACCATGATGCGTTGATATTTTTGGTAACTCATAACTTTAAATATATAACGGGCTCACAAATCTATATTTCTAACCACATCAGACGGATCAGGCATGATGTCGTTTGTAATAACCCAAAGTTAAAGGTTGACCTAGTAACTTTAAATTCAACTTAAAACTTGTTGATTTCATGCAACTTTGAATTTATTAAGAGCTCATAAATCTATCTTTTCATCCATCTGGGACGGGTTGTTACATCAAGGAATGCTCAATCCTCAACTACAGTATTCACCAAATTTAATATAATCCTATCCTTTTAATCCGCAAACAAAATAGGGTCAGAAAAATTGGATGGAATAATTTGTCATTCCAATCCCATTGAATTCCGTCAAATTTTGCATGACGAAAGGCAACTTTGAATGTACATCCAAAACATCCGTTTCATTAAATGAATGATGTCTCTTTTTTAAAATCAAATTCTTTTGTCATAGAATCATATGATTGTAAAATTTTGGACAGGTTATATTATATAGTATTCAGGAATCTGTGGAACATTATTAAAATAAAAGACTTGTCAACAAATCATGCATTGACAGGCGTAAACGTTGAGTTTCTCGATCTCTTTTACGAAAGAAAGGGAAGGAAAGAGATGGAAATGAAGAGGAAAAAAATCTCACATTTTTATTTCTTTTTAGGAAGAAAATGAAAGGAAAAATAAGGAAACAAATACTGATTTTTCTTCCGAAATTATTATCTCAAATATGTGAGGAACAGGAAACAAATGATTCGAAAGAAGAAAAGCAATCAAATATATTTGCATATCTATCAATCAATTACAATCGGTTGTAAAATAAATAAATATATATTTATAAAATTGATTTTTTTTTTCTTTTTTTCCCCTCCTGCTAAAAAAACATGATATTTTTTCTCTCTTTCATTCATTTTGAAAAACACAAATAAAAATTTTATTTTTCCTTCACCTTAATTTCTTCTTAAATTCGAAAATACCACGTATGTGCGAATCAAATAATCACATACTTTTTAGCAAAAATAATGTGTTTTGCTTTCGGCCAAACAACATAACACATTTTTTTGTATCATTTAAATATTTGTATCATAATAAAACATTTAAAAACAAAACTGTATTAACAAAAATTCAAAGATACATAATCTTGAATATTATTTGTGCCAAGATAACACCTGTTATAAATTAATAGATCGTGATTTTAATTTTCTTCGTTGAATATTTTTTTTAAAACAAGTCATAGTTATTTATTGATTGTAAAAAATAATTATATATTATAATTATTATGTTTTGATAAAATAATGTAATAATAAATAAGTATGTTTTTTTATTATTTTTATAGTATTGAAGATGTTTTCTACTGTGTGGTTTTAAAGTT